CTTTCCATTCTATAACCAAAGTATGCTTTATAATCACTAAAAGTCTGACAATACCCCAGCGAGCTGCTACTAATTTTATACATTTGCAAACTGAGGCACAAAAAGAGTAAGTGACTTGCATTGGTGATCTATATTAGAGGCCAGCAACTTATGGCCTGTAGACTGGATCCAGTCCACAGAGCAGGAGTAGGCAACTTTTTTGGCTGGAGTGCCAAAAAAACCTGCAATATCTACCTTGTAAGGTGCTGGAGTGCCAGCATGCCAGGAAAACAAAACCAGGGTGGGGGGAACATGGCAGGACACACTGAATATTAATATAGTTAATCATAGATTCATAGATTGTAAGGCCAGAGGGGACCTCGGAAAATCATCGGGTCCAGCCCGCTGCACCAAGCAGGAAAGATAACTGGGGGTCAAGTGACCCCAGGAAGGTGACTATGTCTAGTGCCCTCTTGAAGATTTCCAAGATAGGTGATTGCACCACCTCTGGAGGGAGCTTATTCCACAGTCTGGACACCCTGACTATGAAGAAGTTTTTCCTAATGTTGAGTCTGAATTGATCTTCCAGGAGTTTGTGGCCATCATTCCTGGTTTTCCCCTCAGGTGCCCTGGTGAACAGTTGCTCACCGAGCCCTTGATGTATTCCCCTAATGTAGTGGTAAACTGCTATCAGATGCCCTCTCAGCCTTCTTTCCCTCAGGCTGAAGAGTCCCAAATCCCTCAGCCTTTCCTCATATGGCTTGCTTTTTAAGACTCTGATCATACAGATGGCTCTTCTTTGGACTCTCTCAAGTTTGTCCACATATCATCATAGATGTTGTTTGTTGTTGTTGTTGTTTTACAGTAAATGCCAGGTTTTCTAAAAATTCTATACCTGATGACAATATATAAAACTTCATATACTACCTTTGTTGTTGTGTATTCTTTTTTTGAACATATTGTGATGACAGAGAAAAAGAGAGAGAGGAAGAAAAAAGAGGGGGGAGAGAAAAGAGAGGAAGGAAAACAAAGGGGGGAGAAAAGAGAAACCTGGTGATATTGTGGCAGGGGGCAGAGAAGGCCCTTGGTCACAGGGTCCTACCCCACTCCTACCAACACTACTCCTGTCTTCTCTTCCTTCACCCACTATACCTTGGCCTTAAATGGTGGATAGAATAGAGAGAAACAGGGGTTGACACCTGATTGACCTTGGCCTTTACAGTGAGGCTTGGAAGATCACATCCTGGATCTTCATGTGGCACCCCTACACCACACCCATACTCTCCAAAGAGATGTTGCCATGGAAAATGTTGGTTCTTTAAGGATACACTTACTTAATTCCTTAAAATAGATGCTCTGTATTCACTGCCATAAACAAGTAAAAATGCTCTCAAATAAAAATCTTTTCTCAGTGGCTGCCTTGGCCCTGCTTCTGACAGCTGAGTTTGGAGATGTTAGACTGGTAGCTGGTTGTTAGACACAAATATGAATCCAAATGCTCAGTCATCAGATGGTTTCTCATAGGACCGACTATGGTTTTCATTTGTGAAAACACTTGTTCACAGTGATAAGTAGATCTAAAGACAGGCAGCAAGGCAAAAGTTACTTATTTACGCATGCATACTTTTCAGAAAGGGAAGACCAACATAATGTAATTTTGAGTTACCAGTCCCTTTCATTCTCAAATTCACCTTGCAGTGATGTGAACTTCAGCGCCTAGATGCATGAGCACTGAAAGTCAAGGAGTTCCAATTCAAATCCTTCAGTGTTCATCCACTGAAAGTACTGCAGTTTGATATCACTTTCCCTAGTACTGTCCAGGTTCACAAGAAATGAAAACATGAGTCCTCTGTTGCAAAAGTCTTGGAAATGCCTGGTGTACTCATCTTCCAGCTGTCCTATGTTGTTGCATATATTCCTATTATTCAATTCATGCTGCTCGGAATGGATTTTCAGACTGGGGTAGTAACAGAAAGCAGACGTTTCGATATCTCATCTGAAAACAGACAACTTATCACAGAAAGCTTTCCAGTCATCAGACAGCTGAAGGATGGTTTTCTGTGTTCCTTGTAACCTAGTATTCAAATCATTTAAATGCGATGTGATGTCTGTCAAAAACACCAGTTTTGTTAGCCACCTGTCATCAATAAGGTCTGCATATTTCTGACCACTTTTTTCAAGAAACAACTAGATGGATTCGAGACAAGCAACAAATCGCTTGAGCATGTTACCTCGACTCAACCAGTGTACATTACTGTGCAGCACTAAATCTCCATATGCAAAATCCACATCATTTAAAAGTTCACGGAATCCTGTGTGTCAAAGAGGACTGGGCAATCAAAAAGCTGACATTTTCACACCGTTGTCATGATTTCATTTAAACCAGAAGATGAAATCTTAGCGCACAGGCTCTCCTGATGAATAATACAATAGAAACTTACAAGAGGATGTCCAATCTAAGTTTCCAGAAGCTTTACAAATCCAGCTGCTTTACCCATCATAGCAGGTGCGCCATCAGTGGTAACAGAGAACGCTTTGTGCAGGTCAATTTGTTGCAGTGTGAAAATAACTTTGACAACATTAAGTATAACACTGGTTTTTGTTGTGCTTTGCACAGCACTCAAAGAAAACAATTCTTCCAAAACTTCCCCAGAGACAAAATATCAAACAATTATAGCAAGATGGGGGATATCATTTATGTCTGTGCTTTCACCCAGTGCAAGGCTCATCACATCATAAGCATGGAGGTCTTGAGTCACTTGTCTGCTAACATTAGTTGCCATTTCATCTATTTGCCTTTGAACAGTCCTGGATGACAGCGGCATTTCATCAATGTGAGCAATGGCGTCTTTCTTATTTGCAAAATCCTCAGCACATTTTAAGAAAGAATCCTTTAAGTCATCTCCATCTGCAAAACACTTGCCTTTCCAAACTTTGGTGTTTTACTATCCGTGGTTATATATTGATATGCCTTCCACCTTTAAAATTTCCTGAAGTTCACACAAACCAAAGGCAGCGCAAACAATGTAAACAGGCAAACAGAAAGCAAAAAATCAGAAGTAACTGAATTATTTGACGTGTGTGTAAATCTGGGTAAGTATTTCCAAGAAGGCAATCGGAGTGCAGAAAAAACACACACAAAAATGAGCAATATCTAATGTCTAAATCAAAGAATGCAAAGCAGAGAGATCAAAATAAACAGAATACGAACAGTTTTAATAAAGTAAAAACCTGAAAAATATGAACTGGTTTAAGAGAATGAAAAACTGAATAAGAAAAGATTTAACATAGCAAAATAAACTGATTCATGTGAAGTGGCTTGAGAGACAGCAAAAGCTGTATATGAATCCATTTAACAGAGCAAAATAAGCTGATTCATGTGCAGAGAGAGCAAGAACCAAATATGAATCAAAATAACAGAGCAAAATAAACTGATTCACGTGAACTGACTTGAGAGAGCAGAAACTGAATATGAATCCATTTAACACAGCAAATAAAGCTGATTCATGTGCACAGAGAGCAAAAGCTGAATATGAATCCGTTGAATAGAACAACATAAACTGAATAGTACAAACTGGCTTGACAGAGAGCAAAAACTAAGTCTGCAATAATTTAACAAAGCAAAATAAAATGGAATAATATGCAATCTTAAACTCTGTTTGCACACTTGTTTTTTGTAAAAATGTTTGTCTATATGTATATGAGGTTATACATATCTACACTCCAAGTATCACTCCACAAAGAAAACCTTAACCCGTTACAAAAACCGCACCCACACACCCATACGAAGGCCTACTGGCCACCTAGACCTGTTACAATATCCGCCTTGTGCGCTACACACACGCACACACACATACAAACTCTGGTCTCTCAAACCAGGCAACCCCTTCCTTTCATCCCCACAGAAACCAGCACTAGCAGAAACAGGCTACTGAGCAAACTGCCACCCAGAGCCATGAGCCTACCTCACATAAGCAGAAGGTGGGTACAGTTGGGGCAGGGTCCCTGCATCTGCTGGCAAGTAACTTCATCCCACTCTATCTTCTTTTTCTAAATAGACATATCTCTCACAAGGGTGTTGTATATTGACAATTAAACTGAACATGCAAAGGGTTAAGTGTGATAAAATGCAGATTCATAAGGATGTTGTTTCATGAAGGTGATAAACACTGATAAGAGAGAGACAATGGCCACCTTTTACCCCCTTTTTTTAAAGCAGGACATGCTGTTGACGTCAATGACAGGTCTTATCCATAGCAACCAATTTATAATAATTTTGCTATTTTGTCTGTCTCTAATCAATCTACTGTAGCATAAACAAGCAGATGTGAAGTATGCTAACACTGTTTCCTGATCTCACTGTCTCCGATTCTGGCAAAATGCTATCAACACCACCAGCTTCGTGACTCATTCTTCTGACAGTCCAAAACTTTTCCTGGAATCTCTCTTTTCTACTTGGCAAGAATTGCATACATCTAGCCAAATTAGAAAGCTAACTTCTGAAAAACTGAATGCTTCTTTAGGCTTGCGCTTTCACAGTGCTTGTAAAATACTTGACTTGGCAGTTGTAATTATTCCCACGAGTAACTTCCTTTCTTGTCACCTTCCTTACAGGAAGGCTACAGAGATGGAGTTGAGACTGGAAAAGAACGTGCACTCCAGCAGGGTTTTAATCAGGGATACAGAGAAGGTGCCAAGATGATGAGGACCTGTGGCCAGTTCAAAGGGATTTTAAAGTAAGTTTTGAGACCATGATATCTTTTTGAAAATCTAGCTGTACTATTATTCCAGTGCTAAGTGGTTTGACACTTGTGTCAGCGAAAGACAGAAGTGCTTGAAAGTCGGGCAGCACAACCTGAGAGAAATCGAGACTTCTGTGCTGGGCATCTAGGTACTCCCCATACAATGCATGTAGAGATGTTGGCATCTCAGTATATGATCCAAAACGGCCAGCATGCTCCAGCTGCCTAGACGTAGCAAAGAAGAGACACTTAAGACAGGGAGAAAATCTAAAATCCCACCTTTTGGGGTTAGGTCAGAACTGCAGGGAGACTTTACCATTCACTCGGGATCCATAGCGGGTATACTGTCCTAAAAAATACCTTTCTACAGCCACTGCCTCCCTCATACAAGCGGGGTGGGAACAGCTGGGTGTAGGCAGGTGCCTGCCCCGCCTCCTCCCCGCTGACCTGAGTACACGTCACATCCGCCTCCTTCTGCCCCGCCCTTGAATCTCCCTGCCCGGGACGGGTACTGAGAGTATACGGGGTCGGGGGACCCGCTGGGTCGTGGCAGACGGCGCGTCTAGGCGAAGGGCGGCGCAGGAGCGGGCTGTGCTGCCCCAGCCCCTCCCCCCGAGGCGCGCATGCAGCTCCCTCAGGCCTGGGGCTCGAGACGGCGCTGCCGTTCGCAGCCTGCCCCCGCCGCCCAGGGCCCGGCAGGCTGCAGGCAGCAGCACCCTCCCCCGAGCAGGGCCAGCGCTTGTGAGGTGCAACGGCCACTCCAGCACCTCCCCTACCCCTCCTCCGGGCCCCGCCCCGCGCGGCGCTCGCCACTGGAAGGTGCTGGCTTCCGCCTGGGGGCGGGGCGGGGCGGGGCTGGGCTGGGGGGCCCCGCCCTCTCCGTCCGGCGGAGCCCAACCCACTCTCGGCCCCGCCCCGGAAGAGACGGAGCCGCGCGCGCCTGGGCCGGCCCCACGTGAGTGCCACTGCGCGCGCGCACCTAGGAGCAGGGGGCGGGGCCTACGCCTCCGGCCCCGACCCCTTCGCGTGCTGTTTCCGTCGGCCCGGGGAAGGGGCGGGGTTTGAGTGCGGTCCTTCCAGCCAGAAGGCGCCACAAGCCGCTGGGTCCCGCTTGATGCCACCGCTAGGAAACTCCTCAGGGTAAAACTCCCCGTTAGGAGCCGAGCTCCAGTCCCGCCGCGATTCAGTTAAATATAACTGTCCATCACCGTGAAGTCAATCGAGCTACTTATTGCGCACAAAGTTAAGGACACCAGTCTTGGCAGGATTGGAGCTTGAGGTGGTGTCTTGGTCCCCAAAACGGGTACAAATAGTATTGAGGACTCAGGTGTTGTTTCAGAGGAGCTGTGGAGGGGGTAAGTGCTGGAAAAAGCCAAGAAATTGAGATACACAAGGTAGTTTCCTTTGACACAATCTGCCATGCTCACTTTGACAGACGATGGCATCTTGATGCAGTGTGAAAGTAGACCTGAAATTGGGATCACTGGTTTCTGAGGTTAGTTTTCCTCAAAAACCTGCCCTTCCTGCCTGGGGTTCTGACAGCGCTGTGGTGGAAGATCTGTTTGGCATCTTACTGTACGTGCGGTGTTCCTAGGAGCTCCTGCTACCATGTCCTGGGTACAAGCTGCAGTCAGCAGGACCAGCGAGGATGTATTCGATGAAGATGCTGATGAGATGCACCTTGTACAAAAAGAGTGGAAGAGCACCATGGAGAAAAGGATCAAGGTAATCTTTATCACCGTCATGAGATTTCCAGTAGCCTTGTAGCTATTTTCTTTTCTACTGCTTAAATGATGCTTGCTTAAATAAGCAAAAGTAAGGATGTCTGCTTAAAGATTAGGCCTGTGCAAAGCGGCAAGTATTTGATTCGGATTCGGCCAGTTCGGAAGGACAGTGATTTGATTCAGTGATTCGAGTCACTGTCCTGATTCAATTCAGCTGAATCAGATCCAAAGATTTGGCGCCAATTCGGGGATTCAGCCATAGACTGAACAGGCAGCAGTCCTTGACCGTGCTGGACACAGCTGCCTCCAGCTGATAAGTTTGTTGTGGTGGGCAGAGGCAGGAAAGAAGGGGAGGGGTGGGGGGGCATGCAGATCAGTGTCCCCACAGCAAGGTGGGGATTGGGGCTGGGACAAGCTGCCCAGTCGGGGCAGGGGGAGTGCAGGATGTGGGCGTGGCAGCACTGCGAGCAGGGGCTATACCCTGCTTCTGCTTCCCCAGCCGGGAGGGGAGGGAGCATGATAGAGACGTGGCTCGCTCTGGGCAGAAGGTGCTGGGAGCAGGGGCTCTGCCCTGCCGCCGCAGTCCAGCCAGGGGGGCGCACAGTGCAGATGCAGCTTGCTCCAGGCAGAAGGCACTGGGAGTGGAGGCTATGCCTTCCCACTGCTTGCCCAGCCGGGGCAGGGAGGCGCAGGGCTGTGCCACTGCACTGCCTCAGACAAGTGGCGTGCAGCAGCAGAAGCTGTTGCAGCTTCCCTGTGCCTCCTGGACAAGCCGCGGCTTCACCCCACCATGCCCTGGCTGGGCAAGCAGCAGCAGTGCATTGGGGTGGGCGCGTGGACCTGGATTGGGGAGGGGCCAGCGGCAGGGGCTGTGGGGAATTTTAGGGTTGCTGCAGCCCCCCCATAGCCCCTACTTCACTGCACTCTGTGGGATGGCTGGAGCCAGGGCTGCACTCAGGACTGCAGCTGGAGCTAGGTGCCAGGAGCACAGCCCAGGCCCCACCTTCGCCAGAGAGCGCAGCCTGGTGGCAGACAGCTGAAGCTAGCCTCCTGGAGCGCTGCCCGGCCCAGCCTGCCCCGCGCAGATCTGGGGACACTCGCCTGCTCCCATGCCCTCCCGGACCAATGGCACGTAGTAGCAGGAGACTCCCGTCCCCTTACCCCAGCTGGACAGCTTGTCCCAGCCCCAATTCCTCCCTCGCTGTGGGGGCGTTGATCTACCCCCCGCCTCATGCCCCTTTCCTCCCCCCTCTGCCCATCACAACAGACTTACCAGCTGGAAGCAGCTGTGTCCAGCGTGGTAGAGGACTGCTGTCTGTTTACTTTATGGACGAATCTCCGAATTGGCGCCGAATCAATTCAGAGGCTTCCAATTCGCTTTGGATCTTTTAATGGGTGTCCTGATTCAATTTGGAGATTTGGCCACCAAATCAGGCCAGATCTCCTCCGAATCAAATTGGCTACCAAAGTTTTGCACAGCCTTATTAAAGATCATGATGGTTCAGTTTCTTCTGAGTGACTTGAAAATTGAACAGAATTAATGAAATGATACCAAGTGGAACATATTTGAGACTCTTTTATTAAGAGACAGTGCCTGAGTATTCCTGAAAATCCAAAATTTATAACCACAATTCTGAATATTTAATCTACCCCAGATTAAATAGTCACACACATTCACTATTCAGTTACATTTTATAACGATGGACTCTTGCTGCGTAATTGTACATAAATCTATTCCTGCAAATACTCATGGGCTTTCTGCTTACAAATTCCAGTGCATCAACAGACACACATGCTTAGTGGCAAAAATATGCAAAATAAGTCATGTGATCATTCACCTTTTTGATAGGGAACACCATCATAGCAGAACTGTTGCTAAATATCTGCTGCTTTCTGTCTTTAAAAAGGTGGGAACCGAGAGGTGTGGCGGACTTGAAAAGTCTTCTAACCTCGATTTGTAGCTTTGCCACTGACCTTCTTTGTGGCCTTGGGCAAGTAACTTCATCCCGCTCTGTCATCTACTTTTCTAAAATAATAGACATCTCTCTCATAAGGGTTTTGTATATTGACAATTTATATAGTAAACTGAACATGTAAAAGGTTAAGTGTTGTAAAATGCTGATTCATAAAGATGTTGTTTCATGAAGGTGATAAACACTGGCAATTGAGGGACAAGGACCAACTTTTACTATTTTTTTTTAAAGCAGAACATGCTGTTGACATCAATAACATCTTATCCATAGCAACCAATATATAATAATTTTGCTATTTTGCCTGTCTCTAATCAATCTACTGTAGCATAAACAAGCAGATGTGAAGTATGCTAACACTGTTTCCTGATCTCACTGTCTCCGATTCTGGCAAAATGCTGTCAACACCACCAGCTTTGTGACTCATTCTTATGACAGTCCAAAACTTTTCCTGGAATCTCTCTTTTCTACTTGGCAAGAATTGCATACATCTAGCCAAATTAGAAAGCTAACTTCTGAAAAACTGAATGCTTCTTTAGGCTTGCGCTTTCACAGTGCTTGTAAAATACTTGACTTGGCAGTTGTAATTATTCCCACGAGTAACTTCCTTTCTTGTCACCTTCCTTACAGGAAGGCTACAGAGATGGAGTTGAGGCTGGAAAAGAATGTGCACTCCAGCAGGGTTTCAATCAGGGATACAGAGAAGGTGCCAAGGTGATGAGGACCTGTGGCCAGTTCAAAGGGATTTTAAAGTAAGTTTTGAGACCATGATATCTTTTTGAAAATCTAGCTGTACTATTATTCCAGTGCTAAGTGGTTTGGCGCTTGGGTCAGCGAAAGACAGAAGTGCTTGAAAGTCGGGCAGCACAACCTGAGAGAAATCTAGACTTCTGTGCTGGGCATCTAGGTACTCCCCATACAATGCATGTAGAATGTTGGCATGTCAGTATGTGATCCAAAACGGCCAGCATGTTCCAGCTGCCTAGAGGTAGCAAAGAAGAGACACTGAAGACAGGGAGAAAATCTAAAATCCCACCTTTTGGGGTTAGGTCAGAACTGCAGGGAGTTTGCCATTCACTTGGGATCCATAGTTGGTATACTTTCCTAAAAAAAAAAACCCATGTGTCTATATCTTTTTCTTTCAATAAACTGAGTGGTGATGGTGCTTATGGTCATCACGCTGTGTAATATCCTATTGGACAGAGCACTTGTCCAGGAAGCAGGAGTTCTAAGTCCAAACCCACATCTCCACCTCTAATAATCAGGCTTCAGGCTTTTTTGGGCGGTGGGTTTTCTCCCTAGTCCTGTTGAAGCTGTTCCATTGTGCACAAGAGAGTTACTCGGCCTAAACGGGAGGAAGCATGACTCTGCATCCAAGCAGTTAGAGCACTCACTTGGGAAGCAGGACCCTAAGATTCTGGTTCGTGCTTCAGGAACTTCTATTTTTGCATTAAACAAACATTGGATAGTATAAAATTAATCCTTGGAGCAGGCACTAGGAATTAAACCTATCTCACCATGCTGGAGAGAGCTAATTACAGTCCCTAATCACTAATTACAGTCTTTCTCCACTTTGAAGTTGAGGAGACATGGCCTGGTATAGAATCTGGAGTCTCCTTGCCTTACTGGGCGTAGCCTTTGGGAGTAAGCTTGTCTCACTGCCATCACCCCTGGACTCACTCTCTTGGACCTCTTGCCACTGTCACTGGACCCTGTATTGACACTAGTCCCTAAACCACTGCTGCTGCCATGGTGGCCACTGCTGCAGCCTTAATGCACCTGTAGTCCAGATCCAACCCAGGACCACAGGGGAGTTTGACATCTCTGCCCTAGATGCCTGAATTTCTGTCACTGAATATACAGAGTATTGCTGAACTGTTGATACCACAGCTAGCAACGCCTTTCTCAAAATGAAGCCACAGAGTAACGTTTTCAAAGTAAGTGTTTTCCTCCTTGTTGTGACAGGGGCTTCGAAGGGAAAGGAGAATATTTGACCTCTCCTCACCTGTGAAAGACCCAGGTTCAAGTTCCTGCTTGACCTGACTAGAATAAGATTTTAAACCTCAGTTTCCCACAATCTAGGTACTCCACCTGCTGTCCTAGTGTAAGTTTCTGGCTCCTATAAATGGAGCAAATAAGACTCAACCAGCCCCAAGTGCCCAGTAGCCTGGTGTTTAGAGACCCCTGTTCTTGTACAAGAAAGTGTTCTGATTGCTGAGATCTTAACTGTTCTGCCCCATCTCTATTTTTGTGGACAGGGCAATTAGGTTTAGGCACACAACTCCAGGTTGAAATTTAAAGCCAAGCTTCCCTGCAGACACAGATGCCTATCTACCTAAAATGTGATAATTCTAAACAGTTCATCTCTAGTTAACATGATCTTAGTTGTTTAGTGAATTAGAATTTGAATGTACCACTTTGGATGGATAGTCAGCTCCACCAGTTGAACTTTCCCAAAAACCCATGTGAACAAGGTTCCCACAGATATGGTCTGAGTTTAACTTGTCTTGTCATCTGTTCACACATCCTCAAGGAAGCATGCAGGCTACTTGCTCATCTTTGTTTTGTTTTTCTTCAGTGCTCTCCTGTCTTGGTGTCACCTTAACGGACATGATTCTGCTCTGCTGAGCAAGATAAATGATCTCCTGGATGCAGTTGGCAAATATGAAGAGCATGTACTGAAGTGTCTGAATTCTGTCCATCCACAGCCCCACCTTGGGGAGTTACTGGATTCAGTTCAGGATATGGACCTTAGCTGTACAATCCCAGCTGAGGAAGAGTTTAATGGAACTAAATCTGAAAGACCCTGTGGAAGTGGTACCATGTTCAGTGAGAGCTGTTGCAAGAGTAATGGTGAGACTGACTCTGTGCAATCTGAATACTGTCAGACAAAAAAACATGGAGATTCAGAAGGTCCAACCCTTGCTTGGGTTAAAGAACAGACTGTTTGCTTAATAAAGCAACTAGGGTTGTCATGGGATATATTACAGCTTATCCAGCAGCTTGAAAGTTAATTTCTATGGGTTTCTCTTTGGTAACATTCATAAAACAACAATAGTACAATAGTATTTTGTTTATAAATAAGACATAGGATGTCAGCTAAATTACTTATTTGATGTTGCCAATAAAACAATGTCTGTTTTATAATGTCTGTCATACCTCTGCTCTTAGCAAAAAATGTTGCTTCCCCATGTAAACTTTACATAAGTGAGTATGACAGAAGCACAGTTGCATAGCATTTTAGTAGTACCTCTGTGGCAATACTGTTGTGTGACCGATGCTTTGTGGGGAATCTAACATTCTACTCTGACTTGTCTTGTATCATTGTTTTTCAGAAAAGAAATTAGACTCATCCTTTAAATAGTTGCTCCAATGGTACTGAAAATGAATAGAAGCATTGACTTTTCTCTTTTTAGTCTGTATGTAGAGTTCCTGTTAGCAAATGGGAACTGCACATGCCAAACATGCTTCTTGGCAGACTGATAGTCCTCCAACTTATTGGTTAAGAAGAGAACAAACTACATTTTTCGATTACTCAAAATCTCTGGTGCATCTCGTAGTATCACTTTCTCTGGTAAAGTGGTGGCAGCGCAAAGAACACATCTTTTCCTCAAGCAGGTGTTTAGCACACAAAATGCTTCCCATTAGAGTTTCACTAATGTATAAATAAGACTTCATTTAAAGTGAACAGGTTTCTTGTTAATGTCAAGCTGTAGCATACCTGGACATAGTTTCTTCCTCAAACAGTTATGGTGTCTTGCTACAATTCAAGAGCTGTGCCTTGGTCTCTTGCCAAAAGCTGTCCTCTGACCTAGCTGTAGATGTGTATCTAGTAGTTTTGACTGGGAAGTAAAAGGTAGATGGGCATGATGCTAACAACCTTAACCTATAGTGTGTCATTGGCTACAAGAGCAGGCATGCTTTAATTATGCTAGTGCCATGAGCAGCTAAATATGGGAAGACATTTGGCCCTTAACCTTTAGTAGTAATGTGTGTTCATCAAAGGGTTAAAAGGATTTCTGCCAGTGTCCTTCAGCACCGTGCAGGTGGCTACATGCATATTTGGCTAATCCATTAATGACTCAAAATGCAGCACAGCTACTCTGCTGAAGTAGCAGGGATTCAAAGTACAGTGTCAGCTTTCCTCAGAGGTAGGGAGAGGAGGATGGTGTGGTTAGCTGAGGCAGTAAGAGGCGTATAGCCACTGCAGAATCACTGTAGCATGACCTATGGTTAGGCACAGTAGCCTCTAGTCCCCTTTTGGGTGTGAACAGATGTAACACTTAAAGCCCTTCAGATGCCTTTGAAGCTCTTCTGAGGGCAAGTGGGATAGACATGCACACCCTTTAAGCATTCGAAAAATAGGGTATTACCAGATTGCTGATGGGAAGCTGATTGCCGACTGGGGTGGGAGGGGAGATCCCAGCAGCTGATTGCCAAGCCAGCAGCAAAACTGGAAGTGCACTTCTGGTGGCGCTTCCAGTTTCACAGCTAGCACTTCCAGAGGGCGCGTGTGCACCCACTACGTGTCGCCAATGCTAGAGGCACTTCAAAGTGAAGCCCTTCCTGTTACATATATATATTCTATAGTGTAGCAGGAGACCCCTGGGTCCTCCAGCATCCACCAGTGCTCTGCTCTTGCCCCTCAGGATGTGGAGAGATCAGGACACTGTGTCAGTGAACTCTCCTGAAGTCCACCAGAACTGGGATTAGTGATCTCCAGCCCCCCACTTTCCTTATGCCTTGCTGCACCTGATCTCCTGGTTCTAGCAGAGGTAAGAGACCTCCAGTCTCCTGGGATGTAGCTAACAGGATTGAATACTGGTTCACTGACATTGGCCCTACTCTATTTCCCCCACACCTCGGGAGGCAAAGAAAACCATAGGCCCTGGAAGAATGGGGTCTGCAGAGCTGCAGCCCTCTGTCGTGGCCCCTGACTGGAGTGCATACTGCTACTTTTGATACTTCAACTGAGGGGTGCAGTACAGAAGCACAAATCCACCAAAGCTGAAGTGCCCTATTTTTAAAGCATTTTGAACAGTAGGCCTCTCCCCACTCATAATACATGGCATGTAGCATCTACCATACCAAGTGGGTGATATGGACCTTGCTTGTATTGGTGGGGAGGAAGAGGAGGACTTTCTTCCCCAGTTGCTAATCCTTACACAGTCAGTTTCACATGATACACATCAGAAAAGAGCATAATTTATGTAACTGCATAATGGGATCTCGCTTGCCAGTTGCATATGTTATAACAAACACTGCTTCTAAGCATATCAGTTAAGTATGTAAACTACTTAAAGTGCACAATATCTTTTGGTCCCACTGTCTACTTTGTAATGTACTCTGTCTAACTATAATAATTGGAGTCAGAAATGGTGAAGCAGTTGTCAAAGAGCTGTTATTAGAAACCTGCAACATGACAGAAAATAACAGCCCTTAAGCTGACTAGTGCCCCTTCCTTTTGAAGCTACTAGTAGCAGCTCTGAAACTGCCTATTAAGAAACACTGAATATGATGAGAGCTGACCAGTCTGGGGGTAGCTAATACCATTATACTGACAGCTGTTGAAATGGGTGCTTAATGAACATGATTTATATAGTCTGTGTAAGTGCCTAGCTTTTTTTTCAGTCCCAGAGTTATGCAGTTAAGTAGTGTACATCATCTTCAAGTTTTGCAGATATACTAAAAATAACTGTGTAAGGTTCTTGCCTTTCTTAGAAATTTCAGAACTGTCAGCTGGGATTCAGATGGACAGAATCAGAGAATTTATTCTAACCCAGTTCTAATAACTGTTAGTAAAAATTCTACCTCCTAATCCCCGTTCTCCCTTCAAGTAGACTGCCTTGACTAAAACTTTCTTCTTGACCATATCCATCACTTGTTTATGGTTTTCCTTTTAGTGCCTTTAGTTAAGGAGACATTAACAACAATCTTCTATACGTCACTCTCATAACCAGCTAAGTGATCTTACAGCTTTTACCCTCACCTTCTCTATGATAAACTTCTAAGGCCTTCTGCCAATTTTTATCTTAACTTTAACTGCAATTCCTTTGGGTCAGAAATGTGTTCTCATTAGTTTGTGAAGTTCCATGCACATTAACCACTATCAGTCAATTTAATTGCAAATCAAGAACAACAAACAGGATGTCTTTTTTACTATTAGCTAGTAGTGGCTAATAAGTTGCTTGTAACTTTTTTTTTTTTTTTTTTTTTTTGAGAGAAAAAAAATTAGTGCCTGTTTAGCGAAATGCCAAAATAAAATAATAATAGTTTACTTTAAAATCATGACTGAAAAAAACTTGCCACACAATTTTACCTTATCTTTATTTTCATAATCAGTAAGAGATTTACATTTTCAAGTTGAATATCAGGCTAATTGTTCCTGCAGCATTTGGATGCAAGTGGCTTTGTAACTTGTAAATTTAAGTATTCTCATTCACCCGTAATGATCACAGGCCCTATGCAGTTCATCCCTTAATTTTTCATTTCCTCGGTTGGAGAAGCTTTTCATTAACTACAGTCACACTTCCATTTTTGAAGGAACTTAAAAAAAAAAAATGTGGAATTGTGCAATTACAAAGAATTTACTCTTGTTCACATGTATGGTTCACGCAGTACAGTAGCTCTCTCCCCCTCTTTATTTTTTAATGTTAACAGAAGGATACAGTTGGTTTTTGTGTGGTTCGTTTATCAAAGTGAATACCTAAGGTTAAAGCAACAAAACTTTAGACACCATACATTAGTTCCCTGTCTTCTAAGAAATACCTGCTACTATTTACAATGTTGACTAAAGTAAAGTTCTTAGAGCAAAATTAAACTTTCCAAATTTGTATTTAAATTTTCAAATTCTAGCATATTAACCGGGGGGGGGGGGGGG